AAAAACAATGGCATCATCGCGTCTAACCGCGCACACATTTCCCCGACAGGAAAAAGAAGCTCGAAAAAAAAGGTCGGAAGAAGAAGCCGACGCCAGCCTGTGCGAGCGAGCACGCTTACTGCATTAAGCTGCTTCACAAATCATCATTTCCGTTCATCCTTTCGGAATCATGTCCGCCACCGACGCGCCTCGCTTCGCCTGCCTCGCCTGCCTCGCCTCGCGGCCAGCGTCGCCCGGCGACCTTTACCCAGGCAAATAAAGGATGGAGTCCGAGGGAGAGAAGGGGGTGGGGGGTCGCTGTAGTGACTAAAGAATAAATCCCTTTGCGAATCAGCACTCTGGCCGGCCGCCAAGCGGAACACCACTCCTCATGGCCTGGCGGACGGGGGCGGGGCGGGGCGGGCGGGCGGGGCGGGGCGGGCGGGGCGGGGCGGGGCGGGGCGGGGCGGGGCGGGGCGGGGCGGGGCGGACTAGATGGCCACACTGCCAGCAAAGTCCCATTCCCATTCCACCTGGGAGGCAGCGACTGCCTGTCGACTCATTCCGAACAACAGCGCTTCGTCGGTCCGTCCCTCTTGCACCTGTGCGGAGCGTGCGGAGCCCCCCGTGAGTGCGAGCGAGACAGAGAGCAGCGCCGTGTAGAACCAGCCTGCTGGCAGCGAATGCAGGCAGGCTGGCCGTGTCTCCGCCGCCGTCAAGAGTCGAGAGGCAGACACGCTGTTCGAATACGTTCGCGGTGAAAAGCGCATCGCCGCGCAGCAACACAGCGCAGCACGGCGCCGCACCGCAGCGCCCCCAATTCTTTTGTTTCCCTTTGTACGTTCGAGTTGCTACGGCGGGCCGTCGAGCGGAACGCGCCCCGCTGGCCAATCGCGTGGCACTACATTGACCACCGCGACCGAGGCGCGCTCTGGCGGCGGGGAGCGCGACGTCTTCCTCGTGCCCGTCATCATCGTCCGCCCCCGCCCGCCCGCTCCGCCCGCCCCGCCAAGCCGTGACACCAATTTAAACGAAACATCATCTTTCCCGCGAACGGGCAACGGGCGGCCATCTCCGCAGGCCCCGCAGGCTCCGCGGCGAGGAGCAGATAGAGGAGACAGCCGAACAAAAGGCAGGCGAACGTGCGCGCCGCGCGCCGCGGGGGGAATTTTGATGCCCCCTCCTCATTAGGATGGCAGTGTAAACATCCCGCGGAAATAAACTTCCCGGAAGAGAAGGGAAAATGGCCGCGCCGGCGAAAAGAGGGAGGGGGGGGGATGTCGATGTTACCGATGCAGCGCGGTGCCCCGATCATGTGACAGAGAACACGAGACACCTCCGGCCCTCGGCCCTCCCGGTCCGGGGCGTCCACTTGCGAGTGCAGCGAGATGAGGGATGGGAACCCGACCCGCCGGACACGTGTGTCATGACACGCCGGCCTCTGTCGCAGGCCAGCCAAACCAGGCCAAGCCAGGGACGCTGCCTGGCTGGGACTACCAGAGCGGGTTCCAGCGGATTTCCAGCGGGTTCCAGAGGGTTTCCAGCGGGTTTCCAGTGGGTTTCCAGCGGGTTCCAGAGGGCTTCCAGCGGGTTTCCAGTGGGTTTCCAGCGGGTTCCAGAGGGCTTCCAGCGGGTTTCCAGTGGGTTTCCAGCGGGTTCGAGAGGGTTTCCAGCGGCTTTCCAGCCGGTCAGGTGCGGTTCCACGTCGGCTCCGGCGGGTTGCAGCGGGTTCCCCCGGCCTTCCAGCGACCTTGCCTTCCAGCAGCACGAACCTTACAGCGTTTGTCGCTCTGCCAAGCTGCGGACCGGAGCCAAGAGTTGCCCGACTCGAGGAGTTCCGAGAGGAGTTTCGGATCGAGAGCGAGTCAAGTATTCCCCCACCCCCACCCCTGCAGAGCGAGAGAGACAGCGCGACAGGAAGCAGGGAGAGGAGGGCAACCCATCAATAATTTGGAGTACGCAAGGTGCGCAAGTATGAATTCGAGGCAGCAGAGAGAGAAAGAGAGAGAGAAGGGGGGGGGGCGGAGAGAGAGAGAGAGAGAGAAAGAGAGATAGAGAGAGAGAGAGAGTAGGGGGGGGGGAGAGCCGCCATCGACAGGCGAGTTAACGGCGTCCGGCCGGGTAAACACCTCCGCCTCTCCTCCATCTTGACCCCGTCGTTGGAGGAGAGCGCGCTGCTCGGCGCCGCTGCTGGCCGGCCCGTCTGTAGTACCTCCCCTAAAGCAGCCCCGCCCCGCCGGCATCGCCAGCGCCGCCCGCCCAGGACGGGTACCCAAACACCCAGCTTATGCAAAGCAACGCCCGGCCGGCAGCCCCAGCACCCAAGCCGTCAGCCCAAAACGACACCTGTAAGGAAAAGGCACGCAGTAGCGGCCGCGCGATCCAAAAGGCGCTCAGTTGCGGCCCTGCGATCTGAAAGGCACGCAGTTTGCCGCGCGCGATCCAAAAGGCACTCAGTTTGCCCCGCGCGATCCAAAAGACACGCAGTTTGCCGGCCGCCAGCCATAAACTGCGTGTCTTTTGGATCGCGCGGAGCAAACTGAGTGCCTTTTGGATCGCGCGCGGCAAACTGCGTGCCTTTCAGATCGCAGGGCCGCAACTGAGCGCCTTTTGGATCGCGCGGCCGCTACTGCGTGCCTTTTCCTTACAGGTGTCGAAAAAGAGGGCCTTGCCTGGCCTCGCCGCCCGTCTCGGAGCCTCGGCCAAAGCGGTCAAAGCGGCCTCGGCCACCGAGTGTTTGTTCCGCGCTGGAAGACCGACGGGCGCGCTAATGGCGCCGCCAAGGCCGCCACGGCCGCCACAGCGACACCGTCGAGGCCGCCGTCGAGGCCGCCGTCAACGCGTCGCCGTGCCCGCTGCGCCGCGCTGCCCAGCTGACCCGCGGCCCTAAATGATTCCGGCGCGATAAATTTGAATCCGTGTGAAACAGAACGCGCTTGGAGGCCCGCCAAGCCTTAATGTTGATGAAGGGGGCCGCCTCCCCCTCCTCCTGCTGCGGCGTCAAGGCGCGGGCCAGGCGTAAATCCCGCACCTCGTTATCGAAGGTGCCGAATGCCGAATCTCCCTTCCGAGTGCGTGTCATTCCAAGTTCCGCCAATTTACAGCCGCACGCTCGTTTTTTTTCCTGTTATCGGATTTCCGTTTCATTTTCGGGTGGAGGCGACGCGGGCCGAACGCACACACACACTCGCGGGTACTGCAGTGTGATGAACGGCGCCGTGCCCGCGAGGAGAAAGGCGGAGAAAGGCGCGGCCTTTAAAAAGAGGACGGTCATGCCGCGTCCGGTTCCGCTACCTTCCCCATCCTCACCGGGAGTGAATAAAACGCGAAGACGAGTGAAACAACTAGACGCAACATAACTCCTTTCTGTCCGAGGCACTTTTAATCGCGTCATATTTATCTGCCGCGCTGGGCGGGGCGGGGCGGGGCACAACTATTTCGTCGGGACGGCGAGCAAGCGGCAGCAGGGAGAGGAGGCAGGCGGCGTGTATAAGTTACGGTCCAGGACGCGACGAAACTGCAGTTTATCCCAAACGTGTCCAAGAGCGTCCCTGGCGCCCGACTTGCCCTGCCCCCCTCCCCCCCCCCTCCCCCGGGCCGGCCCGGCTTCAAGCAGCTGAGCCGACCTGGAACGCCGTGCCGTCCGGGACGGGTGCGGGACGGGACCGGGACGGGAAGGGGTCGGGCCGGCCGCTCTGATTGCGGCTGCGCCACTGATGGAGCGCCTCTCCTCTCCTCGCAGGATCCATTTTATTACTTTTGTTTTACAGACTCGCCGCGCTGCTGCCGCGCTGCCTCCTCCTCCTCCTTCCGCCAGAATGTGGGTCGTTTCTCTATTACCGCACAATCAACTGGCTGGCCTATATCATCAAACGTGGCTCAAAAGTTTCTCCCCTTCTCGGCCTGCTCCCTTAACAGCAGGTGCTGCCCTTCCCTCCTCCTTCGCGTCCGTCTGTCGGTCTGTCTGTCTGTCTGCCTGTCCGTCCGTCCGACCGTCCGTCCGTCCGTCCGTCCGTCCGCCTGCCCGCCCTCCGCGGCTCATCTCCTCTCACCGTAATTCTTCTCGTGGGGTTTGTTAGAGTTGAAAAGTCTGATTCCTCATCCCATTAAGCCTTAAGAGGCGCGGCGGGGCGCAAGCCTTGGCGCAAGCCTTGGCGCAAGCCTTGGCGCAAGCCTTGGCGCAAGCCTTGGCGCAAGCCTTGGCGCAAGCCTTGGCGCAAGCCTTGGCGCAAGCCTTGGCGCAAGCCTTGGCGCAAGCCTTGGCGCAAGCCTTGGCGCAAGCCTTGGCGCAAGCCTTGGCGCAAGCCTTGGCGCAAGCCTTGGCGCAAGCCTTGGCGCAAGCCTTGGCGCTAGCCTTGGCGCAAGCCGAGCCACGCGGACCGGCCGAGAGCGCGGCTTCAAGGCCGCTCAAGCGCTGCAGTCGGGTGGCGCGCGAGCAAGCGCTTTCATCCCGTACCACCAGGCGGGGGCAGATAGACAAGCGCAGCAACCGAACCGAGTCAGCACACTCATCGAAAGTCCTCTCCCCGTTTTTGTTTGTTGCTGATGTACGCAGCGCTTCGGGGCAACAGGAAGACACGACGGGACGGGACGTCCCCCCTCCCTTGCCCTCACACATACATACACTCTATCTACCCATCCCCCACCCTTCTCTCTCTCTCTCTCTCTCTCTCTCTCTCTCTCTCTCTCTCTCTCTCTCTCTCTCTCTCTCTCTCGCAATCTCGCACGCATAAGCAGCGCACGCGCCCCGATGCACACGCGGCTGCTGTTTGCAAACTGTAATTGCAGATGGGCTGTTTACAGGTAACCAATACACGTGCCGCTGCCGCCGGGAACTCTGGAGGGCCTGAGTGCGTGCCCCTACAGTGTGCAGCGAGCGCCCCGGGCGCAGTCATGGCGCAGCCAACCTCCACTCGCTGGAGTGCGCTCAGGGCCAATCCGGCGCACAATCAAAAACAAAACGAAAAAACACTAAAAAACAAACCGCGAAAAGTGCTCGGTGTCACTTTGTTATTACTCACCTTTGGCCTTCTGTTGACTGGTCCGTATGCTTCGTACTGCCGCACCGAGTTCTGAAACGAAATGAGAAATGTGGTTAGTGTTTCTGAAAGCCATGACATTTTTTTTCACGCAATGTTGGTTATTTCAATTACGTAAAAGTCTCAGTGAGGGTTTAGAGACCTTGATTGGGAAACAGACATGAAAGAGGAGAGCCCTTTCTCTCAAGCCTCCACGCAAGGCTTGCGCGTGCACGTCGGACTTCACATTTGTTTATTTCGAAGCGCTCTGAAAATGGGAAACGCTTGCAGGGATTTGGGCCCAAGGCGTCGCCGAGGACGCGGATACCCGCGCGGTTCGGCGAAAACACGAAGAATGCCCGATGCCGTTCGGCATGCCCACTTGACGGTCTCAATTTACATGACAAAAGAAGCAATTATCCCGAGCAAGCCGCCAAGCCGGGCCGAAGCCGGGCCACGATGGGGCGAGAGGGAGAGACCAGCCAGAGACCTGCGCCTCGCCAACGTGCAGCCTGTCCACAGCGAGGGAAAAAGAGATCCACTGACAGACACGTCTAGCGGAACGTAGTAATGAAACAAAGTCAAATATTTTCGAGACTAAGTCCACAGGGCGGTGGCCCGCACGGATGCCACGAGGGCCCCGGGAGGGGGCGGCGGGGCGGAGGGGGCTCGGAAGCCCGGGTGGGGGTGACAAGCTAAAAGTCTTTTGCATAAAGGCGTGGGATGGCAAAAAAAAGGGTGACCAAAGACGGACGGGAAGTCATAAAGCCATCTCCGCAAATTGTATTTTCATTCTAGTTCTGTGTTTCTTGTCGTCCCGGAACTCGTGTCTTTCTCTCGTTTTTCCGCTCTCCCCCCTTCTGCCTCCCATTCCGAGATTAATTCTTGTTATCTCTCGGCCCCGCCGGCCTCCTTGAGGACGGCAAGGCGCCACGCCCCGCCTCACCTGCCTTTTAATATCAGTGTCGGGACCCGGTCAAGTGTTGGATTAAAATTAATTAGTTTCAAGTTAATTCCAATCGAATTGGTCGCGTCAGCGAAAATTTTCCCACGCTCCTCTTGGTCCTTGTCGAGCCGATTTTAGCCGCCAGGCGGTTCGTTCCCGCCGGAGTGGCGACCCGTTTTCATACTTCCGCCCCGCCCCGCCCCGCCCCGCCGGCTCACATCCCCGGCACGGTGTCGAGACGGCACAAGTACACGTGATTGGGAATCCATGGCAAGCTGCACCGCCCGGCACCGCCGTCCCGATACAAGGGCCGCAACGACGGCGAAAAATGGACTGTCCGGGCGGCCGAGGCGATGCTACGCGATGCCGGGGCATCCGTTATTGAAGACGCGGAGATGGGAGTCCGGCACGCTACAGGGCCGCCCAGGGCCGCCGTCTAGGGCCGCCCGTAGGACCGCCCGCCCACGCCCGGGGAGGCGACGGAGAGCTCGGCACAACGCTGGTCTCGTTGTCTGGGTACGGATTTTAAATGATTTCAGCTGACCAGCCCCAGCCAACACACACACACACACACACACACACACACACACACACACACACACACACGCGCGCAGTGGAACGAGGCCGTGCGACACCATTATCCGACATTAGCGCGCTGGCTGATCAGCGCCCCACAAAAGCTGATTTGTTTCCCGTTCCGATAGTGGAGTCGAGTGCGGATAGAGGCGTCTCTGTCTGTCTGTCTGTCTGTCTGTCTGTCTGTCTGTCTGTCTGTCTGTCCGTCGATCCGTCCGTCCGCCCGAACATGCCCCGGCACTCCCTGTCGGATGCTCGCGTTGGCTCGCGTCCGTTCAAGTGGCCTGCCTGCCTGGCTGCCTGCCTGCCTGCCTGCCTGCCTGGCTGCTAGAGATGTGCGAATCAGGTTTTTTCCCCTCGAATCGAATCGAATCATGAAAAAAAATCCCCGAATCGAATCGAATCGAATCTGCATCTTTTTTCTCGAATCGAATCGAATCGAATTTTTGTCCCTGTTTTTCGAATCGAATCCGAATCTCAAGCAAAAATTTCATGATTTCGTTACGTTGTTGTTGGAGCAATACAGGAAGTGCGTTGTTCAATATCAGTAGTGCAAAACAAATATTAGTGGAACAAAAAATAATTATATTTTATTACAATGTAATATCACATAAAAATATTAGTATTTGGTAATTTCAGTCTAGAAGCTAGCTGGCGGGTGTGCAGCGCGCGATTCAAACGGGAGAGGAAAGGGACAAGATTCGAAGGCGAATTACCCTCGATTCGAATTTTTCGAATAGTTCGGATTTTAAGCAATTTTCCCTGGAGCGAATCGAATCGAATCAGAGCTGATTCGATTCGATTCGATTCGATTCCGAACCTTTCGCACATCTCTACTGGCTGCCTGGCTGCCTGCCTGCCTGCCTGGCTGCAGCGCCGCCAAACCCAGCCAGGCGGCCCGCCCGAGCAGCCAGTCCAGCGGCATTCCACTCGGCGTGCTTTTTCGCTTTCGCAGCTTTTCCCTAGCTGGGCTCAATTACCGCAAGAAAATGACTCACTGCTTCATCTGCGAATGGCCCTCCCCCGTTGCAAATGGACTGTTCGGCCGGACGGCGGTGGCGATGACCATGACCAGGGTCAGCGCGCGGTTCGCCTAAAAAGGCAATTAGCCCTGGGGGCCGTTCGGGGCCATCCGGGGGCCATCCGGGAGCCATCCGGGGGCCATCATGGCGATGGTGGCAATCCGCACACAACGGGGGAACATCTTCCGGCGCCGTTGTCGCTCTCCGGGGAACGGCTAACCAACGACTGCAGGTGCGCATTGCCCTCGGCATTGCCCTTAAACGGCGAGCAACGCCACGCGCAAAATAATTTAGTTATGAAATCGGACTCCCCAACTTAATTAACCTATGCATAAACGTTCGTAACTTTCACCGTTCTCGAGATACAGACACTTTTTTTCCCCAAGCTGGTGCTCCGCGCCTCGCGGACGCGGATGTTGTTGTTGTTGTTGTTGGCGTTCGCGGTGGCGGGTATTCACACGGCGTTTCGCCACCCTCGCGAAAACAAGCGCACCGCCAACAACAACAACTAACTTGCAAGTGCAGCAGTCGAAACGCGCGGCTAACTCCCGCCCTGCAGTTACCCCGTTCCAGTTACCCGCCAGTTACCTGCCGGCGGGGCGGCGGGCCCTCGAGGGGGCCCTGCACCGCCTCCGGGGCGCCGGGCCCGTTTATTCACAAACGCTAATTCCAGGGGGGCATTATTTCGGGGATTATACGGCAACGTTGGGGCGCCATCTGCGGGGAGCGGCAGAGAAGTCGTCGAGTTGCGGAACGGACGCACGCTCACACACACACACACACACACACACACACACACACACACACACACACAAACACACACAGACATACACACAACACACACACACGCGCGCACGCACACACACACACTCAAAAGCACGCACGCGCTCGTGTACGCAAGCATGCAAACGAAGGCAGCAGCAGCAGCAACAGCGGCGGCGGCAGCAGCGCTCCCTTCGGTCTCGCGCCAGAAAGTGTTCAAGAAGGCGTGCGCCGCCGCCGCCCCGCCGCCCCGCCGCTCCGCCCGTCACGGCAGGTAGGTGCTCGAAGGGCCCCACACTGACAGCGCACCGCAGCCCCGCGCGCAGCCCAGCGCAGCCCAGCGCAGCCCAGCGCCCCAGAGGAGCAGACTTTGCTCAGCAAAACGGCCCGGGGACCTGGGGAGAGTCGAACCCGCGGGACGCACAACCCTGCCCTGCGCGTTGCTGCGCGCTGCGCGCCGCGCACGCTGGGGCCCCGCCCGGCCGGTCCAGGGAACCCAGGCGAGTGTGGGACGGGCCGGGCCGGGCCGCACGACGCAGCAATATGAATTTATACAGGTACAAATCTCGGAGAGGAGAAGGACGAGGAGGGCAGGACCGGAAGGAAAGGCTTCACTCCGGCAGGAAGGTGGGGGGGGGAGGGGGGAAGCGGAGAGAAGTGGAGGGGGGGGCAGCAGAAGGTGCCCCCTCCACCTTTTTGCCGCTCGCCTCTATAGGACGGACGCCCCTCGCCTCCCCCGTGGCCGAGAAAGGCTGCCTCACGAGGCAAGAAAGGACGCGAGAGTGGCGGCCCGGCGATGTGTTGTGGAAGCGCGTCTTTTTACGCGGCGGCCCCTCGCGCGAGGCTACCCCGCTACGCCCTGCGGGAGGCCCTGATGGAGGATAGAATGAACGATGAGCGCGGTGAGGCGGGGCGGGGCGGGGCGGGGCGTGGGAACGCGAGCACGAGACAGCGACGCCGGTGTGTCGGTTCGAGACTCGCTTCGAGATCATCGGCATGGTGAGCAGTCATTGTGCGCGCAGCGTGAGGCATCACGAGCTTGGACTGACGGAACGGAATGATTTTCGCCCGAGGGCGCGGCGAGAGAGAGAGAGAGAGAGAGAGAGAGAGAGAGAGAGAGAGAGAGAGAGAGAGAGAGAGAGAGAGAGAGAGAGGCACGGCAGCGTGATGACTGTCATATCTCCCGACATTGACATATTTCCGCAGCGACCCACTGCTGCGTTCGGGAGGGCAGGGAAGGGACAAAACAAAAACAAATAAAGGTAAAGGTACGACAGTTATGTCCCCGGGGGAGTGGGGAGCGGGCGGGGAGCGGGCGCGGGGACTTCACCAAAGCGACATTCACTGCAGTGAATGCGAAAGGCAAACCAATGCGTTTAATTCGCAAACCGTCGCTTTGAAAAAAGCGCGCGACAGACAGGCAGGCCACGCCATGCCACGCTGCCCCGCACTGTCGCGCGCGCGACGGGTCGCAGTTACTCCAAACGGACTCCGGGGAGGAATGCTTTTTGCTTTTTTGCTTTTTGTTTGTCTGGCTCCAGATATGCGTGCGTCCCGTCACGGCCGAGGCCGCGCGGGCCGCGCCGCGCCATGCCGTGCCGTGCCGCGAACCGATAACTCCGCTGGCGTGCGGTGCCGCCCTCCGCTCCCGAATTCATTTCGTTTGTTTCTAATAATTTAATTTTTATCTTTCTGGACTATCGGGATGTGTTTGTTGACCGCGCACACCTCGAGGGAGCGCGCCCGGGCGCCCGCCAGCGCGCAAACTAGAAGCGGCGATAACAAAACAAAAAGAAAAACAAGAGGAAATAAATACTGAGCCACGCCCGCCGCGCCACGGCCGAGCAAGACTGATGGCACCGCGGTATGACGCGTAATACGCGGGAAGGACACGTACACACGAAAAAAATCAACAAAAAACAAATAAAAACAAATGCAAACCAGAATAGATTGGAAAACCTCACGCCTCACGCCCTCAGCTGCTATACTCCCTATTCCCTCTCCGGCAACCTTGTCTCGCGACTCGCGCCGCGCAAAATGGAAAAAATTCCAATGCTAATCGCATTGCACGGTGTTCCCGTTTCCATAACTGGTTGAAAATCGAGGAAAACATGACAAGACAACCGCAGCCTTTGAGAGCATGCCAAACAATCCAACCTCAGCAACAATGGAGGGGCAGTTTCAATGAGCGCCTGTTCGTTCTTTCAGCCTCGCGATTTTCGAAAGGGCGCAGACGGCAAGCATATTGGTGCCAACCCACGAAAATTAATTTGATGTGTCGTTTCTGCTACGAACTTTTTAGTAGTGACAGACTTTAAAGATGTTCCAACGTTGAGACACCGTGCAATGTGTTAGCATTAGCATTTTCGAATTTCACGGCGTTTAGATTTTTTTTAATGGGCGACTTTAAATTTTGACGGGTGGTACGATGGGACCATGCCGTTGCCATGGAGATTTTCTTTTCATGTTTTGACCATTTGCTCAGAACATATATGATTTCTTGTTACTTTGATGAGCCAGGAGGTTTAGTTTTGAGGAGTGGCACATTTTTTATTTGAACCATTTTTTCATATCATTAACGGTTCTCGTTTTCGATTGTTGCAAATTTATGTTTTTCGCGTTTACGGAAAATTTCCACGATGAATTTTCGAAAAAAATTGGAATTTTCGTTTTTTTCATGGTTGAAATAGTTTAGAGTTGTTTATTTGAAAATCGGAGAGGGGGGGGGGAAGAATCCACGGACCTCGGACAATAGGGGTTCTTGGGAACCCCTAAAAATGGAAAATTCCGAAGCGTGAAAAATTATACGGTCCCGTGATTAGGAATGCCTGGTCCTATTTTTCGTTTTTTTCCCACCTAACCTTTTGTCTGCCGTTACTGTGTAATATCACATGAAACAAAAAGGGGCGGGGGGACTCGTGACAACAATGGGGCTGCCGTTGCAGCGGACCTGCTTTGTAAAGTTTTTCCGTTAGAGTCACCCCCCCCCCCCCTCTCTCTCTCTCTCCCGGTAGCACCGAAACAGGCGCTCTCCCGCGCGAACCCATAAGCAGCCAACGCCCCGCCCCGCCCCGCCGCGACGAGCAGGGAGCAGGACACAAAGGGTGGGAGTGGGAATTGAAGGATCGGCGGCGCTTTGGTGGGACAGAGACAAGACAGGCGGGCGAGTCCGGCCGGCCGCACGTCAAAAACAGGGCGATGCAGCCGCCATTCCCATTTTGCTCACACTTCTAGCTTTTGTTTTCAAAAAAATAGAAAGAAAGAGAAAACCTAAAAAAAAGAGAGGCAAACAATGACGCGCGCTGACAGGCGGGCAGGCCGGGGCAGGCCGGCGCGGGGACGGCGGCTTTGCGGCTTGGCTGGCCGAGGGCTGGCCGAGGCCGTGCTCCCAGCACTAGCGCCTGCGGTGCGCGAGGTATGCAGCCCGGCGCGCACGCCGGTGTGGCGGCACTGCCCGCGGTCCCGGCGGCATGGCACGGCATGGCACGGCAGGGCGTGGCACGCAGTGACGTCATCATCGTCAGTCCTAAACACACTCGCCTGCAGCAGCACTCGGCGCGCTAATCATCCCCAACGAGTGCACACTCCTCGTCACCTCTCTGCAGCGACCCGCAGCGGTACGGCGTGACCCCCCCCCCCCCCCCCCCCGGGGGGCGAGTCCCCGGGGACAGGGGAGGGGGGGGGGGGGCTGACGGGATCCACACTCTCGAGAGGCAGCCGTTGTGTCCGCACCGCAGACGGATTCCAATCAGAGATGGGATAGGGTAGCGACCCCGCCGGGGCCAGCCGCCCTCTCGCAGCCCCACCATCCCCGCCAGCCCCGCCAGCCCGACCCCTCGGTCGCCTCAAAGGAACACCCACACACACAAACCCACTACACTCGACCAACGCCCGCACGCCCACTCGCGCCACACACACACACACACACACACACACCACACGCGCCGCGGCGTTCCCCCAGGGCGCGTCGGCGAAAGAAGGGTGCAATTTGACTCACCTTCTGCGAAGTGTCCCGCGTGGAGATGCCCATCTTGACGTGGTGCCGGACCTGCACCGGGAAGATGATGTCGTAGGGCTTGACGCCGATGCTCGATACCATCTGCTGGTTCTCCGGGTATTCTGCGATCAGGCGCTTCGCCTCCACTGCAAAAGAAAGAGAGAGAGGACGGCGCTTTTAGTTTCCTTTTCAAACAACGATACCGTATTCGGTGCGCGGCCGGGGGCGGCCGGGGGCGGCCGGGGGCAGGCGGCGGCGAGGCAACGTGTGTGCTCTGCCGGGCTCTGCCTCTCAGGTCGGGTCGGCTAAGAAACGGAGCACCAGCCAGCCAGCCAGCCGCCAGCGCGGCACACCAAGTTGGGAGGGAAAATATTCGACGGGCGTCTTACTGTTTCGCGTGGGTGGGGCGCGCGGGGCGCGCGGGGCGGCCAAAGTCAACACGTCCTTTCTGCCCGAGTCAAACGACGTGTATTGTTCTTACGAATACGGGACGGCGGCGGTGCGCGCCGGACGAAACCGCACGCAAATATTTTAACAAAGTTGGAACACGTGTCGGTGCAAAAAAAAAAACTCGGCCGCCGCCGTCCCTTGGCAGAAGTTGGCGACAGCGCGGCGGGGCGGGGCGGGGCGGGGCTGTCCCAATCGGTACCCCACACTTCCGCGCCCTCCGGCCCCGATGCAGATTGTGTCGAGCGTCGCGAGCGGAAGAAAAGGGAGGGGGTGAGAAAAATGGAAGGGGAGGGGGTCGCTGTCACGCTTTTTGTCACGCCGTAAACAGTGCAGCCAGCCCAGGCGCTGGATCGCAAGGCATGATTTATACTGCCCTCATGATGAGCCCCGCGTCCTCGCGGAGTCCTTGCTCGCCTTGCTTGCCTTGCTCAGTGCCGCCGAGCCGAGCCTCTCCGCCGCGCAGAGCAAGGGGGCGGGAGCGGCTCGGATTTTGAAAGAAATAGAAAACACAAGCAGCGTGAAGCAGACCAGACTCGGCTGTGTTTTCGTTGCGTGCGCAACTCTCGCGCCGCATACTCCCCCCCCCCCGCGCCCGGAATTATTCATTATTTTGTCCCCGGGCCGTGAGTGCGCGGTCCGCGACCTCAGAACCATATCGGGCGTGGCGGGGCGTGGCGCGGCGTATAGGTTATGCCCTTTGTATATTTTACGAGGGAAAGAAGTAAACAAGGAAAGGCGTTTCCTCTGGAGCCTGACGACGACTTCGAACTTGGAGCAGCGCGCCGCCGCCATCACCACCACCACCACCACGACGTCGACGGCGGGGGGGAGGAGGAGCAGAAAGAGAGACTGGGGCGAAGAGCGCCGTTTCCGGTGTGTCGCCGGGCGAGGCCCTTCCCTTCCCGCCCCCGGCCCGGCTGGCCCGGCCGGGCCGGCCCCCTCCTAAGTGCAGGGCGTATCTTGGCCGTACATAAGCTGATCTGCGTCCCCATAAAGCAGTTCTCGGGGAAGAGAAAGGGCGCTGTCGGCCCCTCCGGGCCCTCCGCCCTCCCACACACTCCCTGTCTCCTTCCCTCTGACCCACACAGTGTGCCGCACACTCACACGGCCCCACGGCCTCACACACACACGCGGACCGGGGTTGCAGCGGCCGGCCACTAGAGGGCGCCACCGCCACGCCGCCACGCCATGCATCTGCTCTTTTGCTGCGCCCTCTCCTCGCCAGCGCGGCTCGGCCCGCAAACGTTGCGGCGGCCTTTTTTTTTTTTTTTTTTTTGCATTTTTGGTTTTGCGGTGTTTTTCTGTGGGTCCGCGGTGTAGGTAGGGGCGCGGCTGGTGAAAAAAAGTTAGTGGGCACGCTACTCCGAATAGCGCGCCTACATCTATTTTATTTTTAAAGAGCGGAGAGGGGCGAAAAACGAGCAACAACGCGCGCGGGACGGCGAAAATAATGGAATAGGGTTGGTTCCGGTTGGACACACCGGGGGAGGGGGTGGGAGGGCATTCGGCGACGACGACTTCAGGAAGAAAGGGCATGTTTAAAAAAGTTGCCGAAGGGCGTGGTGCGCCCTCACGGTCGTCTTGATGGGATCGGTGCCTGCCTGCCCACGCCCTGGGCCGCCCCGCCTGCCCCGCCTGCCCCGCCAGCCACGCCGGGCAGCCTCTGGACGACGGCGCGCGACGGAGGGGAGCAAGATTTCGAGCCCAAGTTGTAGGCTGTGGCATGTAACGGTGCCCCTCCCCGGACCCGCGCAGCCCGCGCTGGCCAAATGGTTTGGAAGGGCGCGGTTGAAGGTTTGAGGAGACGTGACCGAGGGAGAAAGGGGTGGGTGGCGGTCGCTGTGGCAAAGGGAACCGAAGGGAACCGTACCTATCAGAGGTAAGGACCACTAGCCACAAAGGCGACCCCCTCTCCCTTTCGGGAACTGCCTCAACTGTTGTCCTGTCCAAAGTCGGTCCACCCCGCTCCACGCCGTGGGGTCGGTCGCATGCCCCCCCACCCCCACCCCGCGCCGCCCCCGAGGAGGCCTCCAGCTTGACACAATACGGGGTGACCCCGATTCGGCCGCGAGCAGCCGCACTGTCTGTCCGGAGCCAGCGAAAACATCAAGTCGGCAATCGTACACCGTCCATGCGGCCACGCCGGGCCACGCCATGGGGCCACGCAGCCAACGCGTCGCGATGCGGCCGGGCCGGGCTTTGCTGGCCACCGCAAAGACCCCGGGGTACGTCCCAGTGACCCGGCCTCGGGACCAAGTCGTCGTGCATTCCTGCTGGCTGGGCGTGCCTGGCCGTGCCGTGCTTGCTTGCACGTGCAGCGGCCTGGAGGGGCGCGGCGCAGCGCGGCGCAGTGCTGCAGGACGAACCCGAGAGTCGTCGCTCCGTCTCTCTCCCACTCATGGAGCGTGCCGTACAGGTGCGAGGGAGACAGGGCGCTCAGCGCGGCAGTCCCACAGCCGGCGCCACTTCCGCCTCGGTTCCTTCTCCACCTGAGTGCTCAGCCCGCTCCGCCTGCTCCGCATCGCGCAACCTCGCGTGCCCCGCGCCCCGCCCCGCCCCGCCGCGCCCCCGCCCGCGCCCCGCCGCGCCCCGCGCCCCTGTGCGCTTCCCGGCGGGGCGCGGCGTGGCAGAGAACAGGCCCTGCAGAGGGGAGGCGGCGATCATCCTGGTGTGCCAGCCAGCAGGATAGTCGCACCATCCATCCGAACACACACACACGCGCACGCACACACACACTACAACACACACACGCGCACTACAGCACACAGCAGCGCGCATAGGGCCATTCTGACTCATCTTTAGAGGCAGGTTTATATGCATTTGCGGGGAATGCTTTGGAACCGCCCGCCCTACCGTCGGTGTAACCTCAGCCAGCGAGCGACCGAGAGAGAGAGAGAGAGAGAGAGAGAGAGAGAGAGAGAGAGAGAGAGAGAGAGAGAGAGAGAGAGAGAGAGAGAGAGAGAGAGAGGGAGGGGGGGCTGGAAGGTGCTGGAGCACACCTGGGGCCTCCAGAAAGGGCCAGGTCGCCTCGTCAATGGCGAGCCCTTCATCGCCACCTCGGCGACACAAGAGGGAGAGACTATGGCGGTCTAGTGCGGGGGACTGAAAAAAGTGGGGGCTGAAAAAAGAAAGTTTGGAGGACTCGTCGTAAAGTATAGGGGAAAGAGAGAGAGACGGCGATATAGGCCAGGCCATGAATAGGAACGGTAGGCTGTGAAAGCCCGCACGCACACACTCTCACGCACACACCACTCACACACACAGTGGCCGGGGCCCGCCGCAAAGTACATTATTTTTCGCAAACAAAATTTAAGCCCATATACAGGGCGCGAAAAGTTGGGGTCATGCACTATACGCCATTACGATCGTTGCTAATGGCGGCCAACTTAGCGGCATTAGGCGCGGGTCTGGCACGGCAGGGCGAGGCACGGCCACACTTCCCGTCGGGATGCCGAAGTCCCAGAGGAACTCCCAGCCGCCCTTTCCTCATTCCAGAATGTATCGCCCCGGCTCGGCTCGGCCCGGCCCGGCCCGGCCCGGCCCCGATAACTGGGGCCGGTCCCTGGGGGATCGTACCGCCACCGCACACAATGCAGCAGCCGCGGCAGGTGGTGGCGGGACCCCAATCAGCGCAGACTGCTTCCAAACTCGCAGCGCGCGCCGGGATTCCGGGTCCGGGATTCTGGGCCCGAGATTCAGGACCGCGATTCTGGGCCCGGGACTCTGGCTCCGGGATTCTGGGGCCGGGATTCTGGGCCCGAGATTCAGGACCCGCGATTCTGGGCCCGGGACTCTGGGTCCGGGATTCTGGGTCCGGGATTCTGGGGCCGGGATTCTGGGCCTGAGATTCTGGACCCGGGATTCTGGATCTAAGACTCGTTGGCAGCACTGTTTGCCTCAAATGCCTTCCGCGCCAGTGATGAGTCGGCGCCGATGAGCGTGAGTGAGGTTTGGCGGCGTTTGGCGGTGTTTGGCGGCGGCGGCGCGGCGCCTTGCCAGCGCGTCGCGCGATAGTTCGCCAACAAGAGGCTCCAACTATTTCAACTTTGCAGTGGCCTTGTTTGAACGCGTACAATATTGTGTTCAGTCGGCCTCGTCGTCCTTGCCGCTTGCTTATTTCAACTCCCAACTCGTCACCGAGTGTGTTCGTCGCGTCACAACCGCACGGCGGGCTGCCAGCGCTGCAGCAGACTGACTTCGAAAGCGCGCCCCGCCTCGCCTCCTTCGCCCCTCGAAGTGCGAGAGAGACAGCGAGCCGCGAGACTCTCCTCTCTCGGAATCGGCTCGCCTGTGTGCAGTGCTGTGCATCTTTCACGTGGCAATGCCATTGTCGGTGCGCGCTATGCCGCCGCCGTCGTGCACGTTTTAGGCGTTTCTGCGCGCGCGTGTTTGTTGGTGTGTGTGAGCAGTGTGTGTGATTGCGCCCCTAAAATATGAATCCCCGCCAGTGTATCGTGTTTGTACAGAGGAAACGTCGGGCTGCGCGTGGCTCCGCGTGGCTCCGCGGTGCCGCGAGCTTGTTGCCCCTCGCGGTGTTGGTGAGTCCGTGTCGGTGTGCTGGCGTCGCGTCGCGGAAGTCAATCTTGCAGGTGTAGGTGCACGTCGCGGCGAGGCTGCTGCGCCGCTGCGCCCGGCTTTGCGTAAGCAGGCTTGCGGGCTTGCGGGCTTGCAGCGCCCATAAATGTCTCAGTTGATG